CTTGTTTGCCACATTAAAAATTTTGAGGAGATGCTCTCTCATGTTGCCAGTTCTATCAAACTTGGTTGAAGTGAGAGTGCTAAGATAAGAACTAGATTTAGCCTTATCAGACCTCTTAAACTTTTCTCCATAGCTACTATATAATCCTTGGCAAGATCACACCTAGAATGCCACCTCTGACGAAATGTATAAAAAATCCTTGGCAAGGGGTTTTAAATTGAGACAAGAAATGGCAAGTGCAGCTTGTCCACCAATCAATAGAGCTATGGTTGTGTCCAAAATGTGTCTATTTTTCCTCTTGTTGATATCATTTTCTTGAGGTTTTCGAGGGCAAGTGGTCTCATGAACAATCCATAAGAGTTATAGAGAATTGGGTCTATATCATCCGACGAAATGTATAAAAAATACATCCAGCTTCACTTTTGCTTTCCATTAGAAACAACCAAGTCATCCTGGTATAGTCATCAACAAAGGAAACAAACCATCGAGTGCCACTAAATGTGGCAACTGGCGATGGTCCCCATACATCAGAAAAGTAACTTGTCTTCTATGCATACCTAAAGGTTAAGAAACATGGTAGGTCTTGGCTAAAATACAAGCATTACACTTTAATTCAGAGTCACCAAAATCTAAAAACAAAGACAGTAACAAATGATGTAGATAACCAAAAGGGCATGCCTCATGTTTGTGCAAATTTCTCACAGGAGAATATTCGTGTGTAGATTCTTTGCCCTTCGAGCTTCCTCCTCTTTCTTCCTCGATCCCTGCAAAATAAATAGGAGCAAAAGACCACACACAGAGGGTGTTGGCCAAAGGCCCACCGATGCTTAAGTTAGTTCAATTGGATTTTGAGAAAAGATACAACAATAGCTAAACTGGACGGAATTTTCTCTCATGGGGAGAGCCAGGTGGCCGAAGCAGTGTGTGGTGAGAGAGAGAGAGAGAGAAAGAGAGAGAGAGAGAGAGAGATTTTCGTGGAGTTTTAGAACTAGGTTTAGGATTACCTTGAATGTCTTATGTGGCTATGTATTTATAGCCTCCTAGTGTGCTAAGGCTTTGGGAGAATAATCCTTATTTGGTTAGGATTATTCTTCCCCAACAAGATGACAAGAATTACTCCAAGAGATTTGGTGGAGATTGGTTCCTTGATTTAGGGAGATATTCCTATCTTAAATAAAAAATAATTTCCCTAATTAAATAGGAATTAATTAGGGTAATTAGTTTGATTTAAGGAATATTCCTTTTCCACGTGTCGTCTTTTTATTGGCTGGTGAAATATATGCTCCCACAAATGCCCCCAGCTTCTGGATGACGCCTGTGAGGCATGAAGGAGATGACAAATATTTTTCAGGCTTTCTAACTGCATATGGGCTTTCTTCTTTGAGTTAGACTCCTTTTACTAGTTGGGCCCCTAATTGGAGTAGGCCTTTGACTTCTTCTTGGAGTTGGGCTCCTAATGGGTATAGGCTTGTGATTCCTTATTAACCTAGGATGTCCACCCGTTTGCAACACGACCCGTTAAGCGCCGACCCTAATACTGATTTTTTCATGTGAATTCGTGTCATATTAACGAGTCGTAATATTGTCAGGTATAGGAACAAGTAACGTACGATGCAAAGGGCATGAGAGCCACTCTGCCTGCGTCAGTCTTCCATCTCAAGAAATCATGTAAGGGCAACATCAAACAAGAGAATATGGTCAAGTCAGGGTAGGTGCGGCACTAAATCAAGCCTATTGGTCAGGTGGGTGCTCGGTGACACCAACTTACAGGGCCAGTCGATATTGTCCCGAACTTAACCACGTACATATCCCACTTAGTGTGGGGTTTTACCACAAAAGGCCTAAGTGGTTTTAGTAGTGGAATCACTCAATATATATTGTAGTTTTACTTTGTCAATTTCCAATGTAGGACTTTCATTCTTCAACACACACCCCCTCACCTGGGACCACCACATAGTGGGCTACACTTGCAGCCAATTTCTCATCAGAGCCAATCAATAAAGCCCGTACATTAACACCATGTATGGGGTAAGGGGTAAGGGTAAATGTCCAATAATTCAAGCCCAATCAATCTTCCACATATGATACCAAGAAGAAAAGAATATCTTAGAAAATATTAGACAAATAGAGTTCTTAGGTAAATTTTAGAGTATTTATTCTTCTCCAGTCTGTATATAGGGTACACAAATTCTCTCACAAGGAAATAACCTTTTCTTACAAGGAAATAGTTATACAATGAATCCTAATTACAACAGGTAATTAATTACAAATTGGTCAACATATAAATCCTATCCCAAATAGGACATCAACACTTTAGACATTGAAAAAAGTATAAATACTGGCTATCCAATTTGGACTACATAAGTCTCAATCATCCCTTAACCTCTCGGCCTCCTCTCTTTCAAATTTGGTGTAAATCTCAACCTCCCCCGACCTAAAACGAACACAACTAGTAAGATGACAATTAGTGATTTTGATCATGTGGGGATGATTAATGGTCAGAGTAGTAATAATGTTGTGAACTTCATCAACAATAATTATAATCATCGTCATCAACAGTTGTTTATCAACTTTCCAGTAGCTGTTTCAACATTTATGATCCATCATGACATTTTTGCCTTCACCATTCCCACAGCTATGACGTTAGTCCAGATGCGATTTCCAGACGAACATCTCTTCCACACCCACCCTTTACTCATGATGCTTATGTTGTGTAGCATCATCGTCTATTCCTTGGCCTTTAGCCTTGAGCTACTCGTCCTTCGTGTTAGTGGTACTCGTCACGATGACGTATGCCCTTGTAATTGGTCCATTGTGTCTGGTTCACTCTCCCTCGCTTCACTCTTAGGGGTTCTATTTTCTCCACATTCCTCCTCTTGGCTCTGGCTCCCTATGCTTTTATGCTTCTTGTTGTTGACGTTGCCGGCTTTCGCCCCGAAACTGGTGGCTTTGGTAAGTGACCTTCTTTCTTGGTTTCATCAAGGGGGACTAAACCACGTGTGCAGGACAAGTTCACCACTGCTACCCCTTAGCATCATAGAGTTCTCAAGCAGACTGTAAACCGTCAGCTCTGTAATCCTATTTCAAGAAAATTGTTAAGAAGCCAACATTATTTTACCATACTTTGTACAACTTTGCTCTTGCTTGTGTTGCACGTTTCAAGTTTCGTAGGAAGGGAGATGTTCCCCACCGTTTTCTGTTTCCATGGTTATGTATATTATTGGTTTGTTTTTCATTTCTTTGATTTGAAAGGAAATATAGTTTATTTTGTTACTTGTATTTTTTTTCTTTTCCAATGTTTAGATAGTTTATTTACTGCATGTATAGCGGTATGTATTCCCTTCCATCTATGTAATAAAATCTCAATAAAATTACAATTTTACAAAGTGAAGATCCATTATAGGCAACCACACTGAGGCCTATTCTTGTAAACTTGACCGCACAATTCTATAGGGTTTTTATATGCAATAGTTCCTAAATTTGTACCCGATTTGCATTTTGGTCCTTGAATTTACAAAATGACTAACTCAACTCTGCTTCCATTACCATCGTTGGTCATTGTGTTGCATTTTCTGTCAAATTTAGGGGCAAAACTGTATTTTAATGTCTTTCTAATGAAAAACACCAATAACATCACCCTTTTCCTATCAACTTTGACCCTAGATGTGTTAAATGGGTCGGGTCGGCCCATCATAGTACGAGCCCATCCCATTTCAACTGGGCACACCACGAGCCCATCACGTTTAAACTGGACATGGCACAACCCAAGCACGATTATTGGCGAGCCGTGTCATGATTAGAAAATTAAGCCCAAGGGACTAGGCCAGCCCACGACACACGATATGTACCGGCCCGCGGTCTGATCTTGCTTCAAGCCTGGCCTGACCCACTTAACTTTTTTTTTTTTGGGTCAAGGCCCACTTTACATAAACCATCTCTTAGCCACCTTCTTTCAACAAATCATGAAATTTCATATTAAAATCCTCAATTTTTAGTCTCATATTAAATTCTCAATAAATAAATAAATAAATACTATAATAAATCCTCAATTTTAAAGCCATATTACATATAAGAAAGGTATGATCATATTATAATGTTTTTATTTTATTTTTGTGAAGTTAATATGCTGACATGAGTTTAAAAAATGAAAAAAAAGAAATTCAAGTTAAATGGGACAAACACGGCATGAGAACGGCACGTTTCAATGTGGGCTTGGGCTTTCGGTCGGGTTGGGATCAATGATTTTAATAAATGGGTCTGCATAGCCCAATTAATTAAATGGACTGACTCGGCCCAAATAACTTAGTTGCATGAATTTAAATGGGTTGGGCCGGCACAGCACGACACGACCTGTTTGACAACTCCATGACCCCCACCCTCCTTACCCATCAACTGTCGCCGAGGACCCCAAACCCACCCAAAATTGATCTCCTCATCCAATCACTCCCTACCCACTGCATGTATTCTCATGCCCCCTAATAAGTTCATAATTCCATAATAAGCTTATCTAGTTATTTATTTGGGTAGTTGTTAATTAATTTAGAAAAGTGGAAAGTTTGTTAGGTTAATAAGGGTAAATCAGGAAAAATCTTATTGAAATATTGTTTCTTTCTCATAATAATGTTATCAAATAAATAAAAAATAAAGAATTAACTATAGTTAAACCCATGGACATGTGTCAACTTTTGAGAGGGATAGTGAAGGTACACCTAAAATTAAGGTGGTGAACAAAAATGCACCCTTTTCCTTCTTGGGTTCGATCAGGTTTCCTAGTTTATTCAAGCTTCCTAGAAAGATTAGGGCTGTTTGGTAGGCCATTTTTAAAAATCTAAACCCAATACAAACTTAAAAATACCCCTATTATTGAAAAAAAAACAAATGCGGTTTTTTCGAATTTTTTTCTCGCGTCATTCTTGTTCGCGCTCGCAGAAGCTTGAAGCTGTCTTGCTCCCTCTCTTTCCTTCTCGCTCTCTCTCTCTCTCTCTCTCTCTCTCTCTCTCTCTCTCTCTCATCAGTTCAAACCCTAGAAATTGGGGACTTTTCCAATATCAAAGGTCAGTTTGCTTTTTCTATTCCTTTTGGATAGCTGGGTTTTGTTTGTTAGTAATGTGTGTTTTTGTTTAAATATGATAATGGGTTTCTTTTGATTCCCCTGTTCCTGTTTTGTGACCTTATTGTTCCAGAAACTCAAATTTTATGGCTGGCATAGATTTATTTTGTGAATTTGTGATCAATTCATAGTTGGTGTTTAGCTTTACAAGTTTTCTGCTGATATCAAACTTGTTATTTAAGGAAGAGTTTCGTGAAGGAGTTACTGGTAGTTTCGTAAAATTCAAGCTAATCGTTAAAAATTTACCCTTTACAATTTCAGATCATTCATATACTACACGAGAGACATGTGACCTTAAGCCTGATTCTATTCATTGTACATGTTATAACTGTATAAAGTGGATGTGTTGATTACAATATTACTTTGAACCATTTGGTTTTATGTTGAGACAAAATCTTGGATATTTGGTGCTTCCTGTGATGTCTTATTATGTTACTGTTTTGAGTTAACTCAGAAAAATAATATTTTTGTTTAATGATGAGTACTGAAACTATATGCTATTTTGAGTTTGAAGACTAATTTGGACTCAAGCCCTCCAAAAATATAGTGTCTAACAGAATTGTTTTTTTTATTTTTTGCAGTAGGGAGTTTGAATTACTTGCTTAAGGGGCTATATTTGCTTAAGCGGTATGGATAGCTAAAAATCTGGCTTCTGCCTTTTTTTTGTTTTTGACTGGTGTCATGGGTTTCCTGTGTCTAACTGATTTTGTTTTTTTGTTTTTTTGTTTTTATAAATTTTGTTTGCAATAGGTTGTTTGAAATACTTGCTTAAGAGGCTATATTTGCTTAAGAGGCTATATCGTTGAAGTTTAAACAACGCCTTCATTTCTCTCATTCAGGATTTGTAGCAAAGCAACAGCAAGCCCAAAGAGCAAAATCTGAAGCTTTCAATTTCAATGGAGGTTAAGGTGCTTTCATTTGCCGCTGAGAACCCTCCTCTCCCGGTGCTCGTGGTGGCCAAGCTCGCTGGCATTTCTCTCTCTAACGACAAATCTCTACTTGCTGATTGTCCTCATCTCTTGCACTTCTCCAATGGGTAAATCCTAATCCCCATTTTTGTTATGTTATTGATTTATTTGTATTTGTCTCTGTTTTCATGTTGGATTAAATGCATTTGTTCATCTTTCGTTTTAGGTTGAAATTGTATGGAAATTTTGCGCTTCTTCGATATATCGGTCCAATTGCTAACTTGTATGGTGAGAATGCAATTCAAGCTGCCCAGATTGATGAGTGGCATGAGTGCGCACCTGTGCTTTCACAGGGTTCTGCATTTGAGAATGCATGCAAATATTTGGATGACTTTTTGGGAACCCGTAGTTTTTTCGTTGATCACTCTTTTTCCGTTGCCGATATATTAATATGGTCAAGTCTATTAGGTATGGCGTTGCTTCTCTCACTCTCTTTTCCTATTGTTTTTATCATTATTTGGCATGGTTATGTAAAGCATTAGAAATTGAAGGATAAGGTCCTAAACTAAGGACTATTCTTGTGTAAACATTTCTATAACATAAATGGAAGTGCTTTTTGGAGATGCTTAATTAACGCTCTATGCATGGCAGAAACTAGGCAAAGATGGGAAAGTTTGAGGAAGTCGAAAAAGTACCGCAACCTTTCTCGGTGGTTCAATTCACTATTAACGGAATACGGTGGTGCCCTGAATGAAGTCATCGCTACCTTCGTTGGCAAGAGAGGCTTGGGAAAGCCAGCAACAACAAAATCAAAAGGCACTCAAGCCAATCAGGAATCAATGACTGTAAATGGAGATGTGTCTGAGAAAGGTAAAGCAGGAAGCAGACCAACATTTGAAGTAGACCTGCCAGAAGCTGAGGTTGGAAAGGTTCGACTGAGATTTGCGCCAGAACCCAGTGGATTTCTTCACATTGGGCACTCAAAAGCAGCTTTGTTGAATCAGTATTTTGCTCAAAGGTATCAGGGTCAGCTTATTGTGCGATTTGATGATACAAATCCTGCTAAAGAAAGCAATGAGTTCGTGGACAATCTTCTCAAGGATATTGAGACTTTGGGTATCAAGTATGAAACGGTTACCTATACTTCAGATTACTTCCCTCAGTTGATGGAAATGGCTGAGAATTTGATTTGCCAGGGTAAAGCATATGTTGATGACACACCACGTGAGGAGATGCAGAAGGAAAGGATGGATGGCATTGAATCCAAATGTAGAAACAACAATGTAGAGGAGAATCTAAAACTATGGAAGGAAATGATTGCTGGTTCTGATAGGGGTCTGCAGTGTTGTGTCCGTGGGAAGCTGGATATGCAGGATCCAAATAAATCTCTTCGTGATCCAGTTTATTATCGTTGCAATCCAATGCCACATCATAGGATCGGATCCAAGTACAAGATATACCCGACTTATGATTTTGCTTGCCCATTTGTTGATTCTATAGAAGGTATTACTCATGCACTCCGATCTAGTGAGTATCACGACCGCAATGCTCAGTACCATCGAGTTCAAGAGGATATGGGACTGCGAAAAGTGCACATCTATGAATTCAGTAGGTTGAACATGGTTTATACAGTTCTCAGCAAGCGCAAGCTTTTGTGGTTCGTTCAAAATAAGAAGGTTAATGGATGGGATGATCCTCGTTTTCCAACTGTTCAAGGAATTGTGCGCAGAGGTCTTAAAGTTGAAGCTTTAATACAATTCATTCTTGAGCAGGTAAGACACTATTGTGTTGTAGATGCACAAAAGCAGTTATGATCTATGCCTATAACGTATAATGTCTTCCCGCTGCTTATTATGTCCTTACACCAATTGTTTTTCCTTGGCACTACTAGTTTATTTGTATGCGATGTCCACTATTTTGAATGTTTTAATTTCTTAATTGACTTTTATACTCTTTATGTTTTAGGGAGCTTCAAAGAATCTGAATCTCATGGAATGGGACAAACTTTGGACAATTAATAAGAAGATAATTGATCCAGTATGCCCAAGACACACCGCTGTTATTGAAGAGCGGCGGGTGTTGTTGACGCTGACCAATGGGCCTGAGAAGCCATTCGTTCGCATCATTCTGAGGCACAAGAAGTACGAAGGTGCTGGGGCGAAGGCGACTACATACACAAGGACAGTATGGCTAGACTTTGTTGATGCAGAGTTCATCAAGGTAGATGAGGAAGTGACCTTGATGGACTGGGGGAATGCCATTGTCAAAGGGATTGAGAAAGACGAAGATGGAAACCTCAAACTCATAGGGGTTTTGAATCTTGAGGGGTCCTTCAAGACGACGAAATTGAAGCTTACATGGCTACCTCAAATAGATGAACTACCTAAGCTCTCACTGATGGAGTTCAATTATTTGATAACAAAGAAGAAGGTATGTCCCACAGGTGTTAAATTATTGCACCGTAGCATAGCATATTACTTATTAATACATTGAACTTAAATTTATTGAAAAGTGATTGCTATGTGATTATTTAACTTATGATTGCAGCTTGAAGGAGAGGATTTCCTTGATGTGCTTAACGCATGTACAGAAAAGCAGACTGCAGCCTTGGGTGATTGCAACATGCGAAATCTCAAGCGAGGAGATATATTGCAACTTGAGAGGAAAGGATATTTCCGATGTGATGTTCCCTACATCAGGCCTTCAAAGCCTATAGTTCTCTTTGCAATCCCTGACGGCAAGCAGCATATTGGATTTAATTGATAAGGAAGAGTTCAAATTCAACTCATGGAAGGAGAAGGATTTGACTACTGAGCAGAAAAGCTACGAGGTACCTCATCATATAATTGACCATTCACAAATAAGTGAATTACTTTCGTTAATTACTTCATATAATTGGGTACTCTTCATGCTGGCTTCTAATATACATGATTGTTACATTCATCAACTTCTTTCAATTTTCAAACAACATATATCAAATTCTGAAAGTACTTTACATCAATTATTCATATCTATAGAAATAAATTTCCACAAGAAATGTTTCACAAACCACATTTAGCCGATTATACAACGTAGACAACTGATTTTTGAGTTAAAAGTTCATTAATTTTTCTCATTAGTGTTTCTTAGTGTCTGTGAAATAAGTTGTCCTCCTTTGGTTTTCCGCAGACCAATATAAGTTGTTACAATTAAAAACACATGATTATAATGGCATGTTTGGAAATGATGAATATGGTCCATAATTCACCAAGGAAATAGGACAGTCCATGTGGTCTTAAATAATTATGAATATCAATGCAAGTCAGTAGTTAATTGCCAAGTTCACCCTCCAACACTCAATAGAATGGATAAGTTGACCCTTCAGGAGGAACACAAAAAGAGTCAAAACAAAACATATTCAGCAGAAAAGAAATGAGTCCCTGTAATTGAAAAATGAGTTGATCATTTTGAGTGCTTTTGGATAAGATATGAAAAGGGATATAACATTTAAGGGCTTGAAAACCTGCAAAGTTTCAACAATCTATGTGTCTGAACTTGCATGAATCTGCATTTTTTAGGGATGAACCATGCATTTAATCCTAAATTTCAATATAAGCAATTTTGGCACTGTTTGCTATATATGGTTTAATGATTCATCACTGTTGGATTGAGTTCATGTCATACCCTTTTGATATTTTCTTCTTTTGGTGCTTTTTGTTCCAATTCCAACTTTTCTTTTGGTATATGATCTTTAATCCTGGTTTTCCCTTCCTTTGATTGTTCACCCTTTCTAGTTTCCTGAAAAAAATAAAAAATAAAATAAGTGTAGAACACTGAGCAAATTCATTAAATGAATCTTGCTTGATACTTGTGTATGTGTAAGAAGATTTTGACAAAATGGATCAGGGCTTACTCTGAAGTTAGAAATAGCAGTTACAGTCTGCTGCTGCACCTGTTCCCCTTGTCACTGTTTGGATGAGCCTGCTAGATTAGTGTCATGGTGGATGCCAACAGATTCATTTATGAGTGCTGCATATAACCCTGTTTTTACTAGTTAAATGTTGTGACATGGAAATATGAGCTTTGATTTTTGAGAAGGGGATGTGTAGGATATTGCATATGTGGTTTCTATGTAAGTTATCTAGTGATAATATCTTTCAGAATCAGAAATCTAGTGCTAATGTCTTTCATAATTCATTGCTTCAATTGGTCACTCATTGGTGTAATTGTAATGTGGCAACTGTTTGTTTTGGTCTCTGTACATTTTCCGTTTGCTTTGGTACTTTATTGCTTCAGCTGGGCACTTCATACTTGTCTATGACGTTATGGTAGATTGGGTCATTGAAAGTTTCTTGTTTTTTGGTTAATTCATCAATATCTTATATTTTGGTAATCAATGAATTTTTTTGGCAGATTGGAGCAACCTGTCAGCTAATTGGAGTTCATGGCTTTTGAGGAGAACTAGGAAATCAGTTTACTTCTACTTGTTACTATTAGGTCCAAACATTAGTGTTTTGTAAAGAGAAATGAGACGTCTATTTTACTTATGGAGCCTTATGTTTTTACATTAATGTATCACACTTGATATTATTTTTAACGTCATTGGTATTATAAAATGAAATTTTCATACATATTTACTTTGGATATTTTTTGTAATGATTTAGTAACAATTAGAACTTTTTGCGAGTTAGGGAAGAGATTCCGACCCAAGAAAAAGTTAGGGAAGAGATGTATGGAATTGTTAGTGTCCTATGAGTGGTGGTGCTTTTAGCTCATTGCTATTAAAAAAAGTAATCAGATGGCATGAGCTGTAAAATATAATTTTGAATTATAAAAAAAAAAAATCAAAGTATCTTCCAATGGATCAATGTAGGTAGGTGCATTTAGAAGGAGCAACATTTCTCAAACCCGAATATAATGTGGTTAATGTTCAACTTAATCTCACATAGTTGAGTTTGAGAAATTCTTTGAATTATTTTTAATTCAAAATTGTATTTTACAGCTTCAAAGAGGAAGAAAATGTCACAAGAAGTTTGTAGCATTTTTCGGTTTTTTTTTTAGGTTCTCTATGAATTTTGGGTGCGCAGGATGTTCTTCTCAACCAACTGATCTTCCAACTCTATTTCCTTATTGTCATGGATGCCAAATACTTTAGCTAGAAACTCACAGGCATACCTGAGAGGGAAAGGAAACAAATCTTGGCAGTTGTATATATATTATGACATACTACCAAACCCCAATGTCTCTTTCTTTTTTTGAGGTTGAACAGAAACAGGACTCGCAACCTCATCATCCCCCTAATTCTTCATATATTGTGGATGGCAACTATGTGGGGCTCTTAGGGTTGAACTTGAACCGCACAATGTGAGATCAAATGGAAGCTTCTCATCTTCAACCTTCACCTGTTTTGCACAACGACAGTCAACAATCATTCGGACCTTATTCTTCATAAATAGGAACCGTGAAGCCTGAGGTATGTCAGTGGATGGATAATAATGCAAACCCAGATATGGCTCCAGGCCAGGGCTTGGTAATTTCAGAGACCACTTCTCCATGGTCATCATCATCATGAAATTTATAGGCCATCATCACCCTGTCATAACCGGTGAGTTCAAAAACCTCTTGGACCATTGTATCACAAAGCCTCTCCACTAGGCAAAGACTGCAATCGGGCAATTGCTTTAGCTGCAAGCTTGTATGACTGCAGGGCCCCAGCAGCAGTGCAGTCATAGGGACTTCATAAGGCTTCACCAGCTCGAAGAAGTCAATGATCAAACTGCACGTTAATCGATGGGTTATTGCATAAAAAGGCTTGCCAGAGGTCTTGCAATGGATATAAGATGGGATTCATTTAGGAGAGAACCTCCCCAAATCCGTGGGCCTTATGCAATGCAGAGGCACTAGGGGCAGTGAAAATTGTTCTTACATTACATCTGTTCCTATGCCAAGAACAGGGGTAGTCCCCAACGCTTGGAAAAAGAAAAAAGAAGTCAAAAGTGATGAGAGCTCGGTTGAGTAAATTTGACGAACAAGGTGTAGGCCACAACACAACACAACCCAACATATAAACTGGATCGCTTGCTAAAGGCTACCAATCTATTTCTTAAACCTTGACGCTGTATTTGTACCTACAAAATTAAGGCACATTGTGGTCTAATTGTAACCAAAAAAGCTAATGCTAATTGTAACCAAAAAAGCTAATGCTAATTTTAGGTAACAACTTGTTCTCATCTCAGTTTTATTTTTGTGTGGGTGGAATCGAAAGCTCCTTTCTTGATTTTAAAGCAGCGCCCATTTTCACATACTAGTTATAGCTACCATTTTGCAAGACCAGTCTGCTTAATTTTGTGACCAGGCGGCATTTCGAGGTTGCAGGGGTCAGTTGACCACTCTTGCTCCTCTGTGTATCCGTCGGCCATTGATCACAAGGTAAAACCATTTAAAGAACAAGACTGAGACATGCATATTTACAAAAAGCAATACAAAAGTTTCCAAAGAAAAGGAAGTTAATTGAAATTACAAGGCATATCAAAGATGCAACCCTCAACTCTCATTCCTTGTAAGGCTGTAAACTTGAGAATCTGTGTTGTTTCCCGTCCAAAATTGTCTTGATTAGGACCTTAACTCCTGTGCAACGGCAAGTTCCACGGATATCATGAAGGTTGCTTTGCCTGCTTCCCTAAGATACATTACGTCTCCATTCCTGAGCTTCACCAGTTTACTCCTCACGAGCAGGCCATTTCTCTCCTCAGATATGCTTACGTTGTTTCCAAACATCTGGTTCAGCAATCCTTCCGGAATCCCACCACCCTCACGCGTTATCCTGATCCAGAAATATTAATTCTTCAACATCTCATGATAATCGCTTAACTTATAATACAAGCAACCCACTTATACATGAAATCAATAGTAGAGACTAGAGAGAACCGTTTGTTTGTACAAGATACATGCTAAGACATCAATGCTTTGAATCAACTAAGCTGTACCTGAGCTCCAAATGCACAAGATGAACGGATTGTCCTAACTCATCTTTGGTCAAATTGGCTGCAATAGTAATCTGCCCTCCGGTTGGCATAACATTAATTGATACGGCTAAGAAATCAGCTTACACTTGTTGAAGCCTAAGACTATATCACCATATAAGGTCCCATTCATGATCTCTTCTGCTGCGTCATGGACAATCCGGATACTCCTGGCATTGCTCTTAATCATGACTTGACTGAGGCAGCAGTACTTCATGCAAAGTGAACTCAACCATTTCCAAGTCCAAGTAGTTGTCAAGGGATCACAAAACAAAGAATTGTTAAGACCACAGTTAGAATGAATAAATAAACACAGAACTATTCCCCTCTCTTTTGCACTCTGTATACCCTTTATTCTCTACGATTAGGGTTCATGATCAATTTATGGAGGCAGGTGAGTGTACAACAAGGGATCTCTACCTTCAGTAAAGAAGGAGAATGCTCTGACGATATAATTCAGGATTCTTCGGCCGAAGCATTAGGTATGATTGAGAATGATGATTTCAATCATACTTCTATGAGTCATATCAGCTTAAAGTTCACATTAAGGGCTTGACATGTTTTCCATGCTCTAATGATGTGATAGAGAAAACATTGTTTTAGAGAAGGACCGTATTACATTGTAATTCCAACTGAATAGGTTCTCCACCTTATTCGACATTGGCTTGGGTAACCGTGACATGTTGCTAGACGTCACTCACAGTTTGTGGAAGTCATGAGGACATGCCATAATTGGGTTCTCATAATAGGGAGAATTAAAAAAGGGTTTTAATTCACAATTAATTACAGAAGAGTCAGAATTGCCCACTGCCTCGCCGATTAGAACCTAATGGATCGCACACCCATAAAGGTAAGAGATGGAAAATTAATTAGGAGATGATGAACAAAGATTATTTAGTTAATAAAGATTAATTAATTAATCAATGCTCGAGACTTATATTGGGGCTAAAATTAGTTTTAGAAGTTCAAGGCCCATTGGACTTGGACCCATTGGGCTTATAAGATGAGTTCTACATGACAACTTAAAAGATGAAGCCCAAGAGGCCCAATAAGGAGATAATCTTGGCCACATGGTAGAGATGGTGGGTTACTCAAAAGTAATTAGGGTTTAAACTGATTTATTTATTCTTCTCTCAAGGAGGGATATATATATATATATATATATATACTACATACAGAGTAAGTATAAATAGGAAATATATACAAAATCTCCTAATTGTACTCAAATTAGATCATTACAATAAAATATAAATTCTATTCCTAATAGGAACGTTGACTTTGACACACGCCAACACTCCCCCTCAAGTTGGTGCATAGATCGGTAATACCCAACTTGTCAAGTGAGTCTTCAAATCGGCGTTTTGACATGGCATGGATCAACATATTTGCAAGTTGATTTGAAGAAGGCACAAAAGGTATAGAAATTAACTTATGCTCCAGCTTCTCCTTAATGAAATGTCGATCAACTTCTACATGCTTAGTTCGACCATGTTGCATGGGATTGTTAGCAATTTCAAATGCAGACTGACTATCAAAGTGGAGCTTTGTAACAGCATCCAATCTAAACTAAATTTCAGCAAATAACTACCACGACCACAATATTTCACAAACCCCTTGGGCAATCCCTCTGTGCTCAGACTCTACAGAGGACCGAGACACAACATTTTGCTTCTTGCTACGCCACATAACTAGGTTACCGCCAACAAAGATGAAGTAACTTGATGTAGAATGTCTATATGTAATATTTCTGCATACTCTGCGTCAGTGTAACCTTCTATATCCAAGTTGCCATTTTTCTTAAATAATAAACCTCTCCAAGGAGCAGAATTTAAGTAACTCAGAATATACATCACAGCAGCCATATGATCCTCATTAGGTGAATGCATAAATTGTCTAGCAATGCTTACCACATAGGCAATATTAGGGCATGTGAGTGATAAATAAATCAATCTCCTAACCAACCTTTGATATCTTTCTTTGTTAGTTGGGACCTGATCCACATAAACCCCAAGTTTATTATTATCAACAATAGGTGTATCAGCTGGTTTATAGTCAAGCATTTCAGTATCTACTAGCAGGTCGCAGGTCCATGACATACTTCCTTTGTGAAAGAAATAAGCCATGTTTAGCATGTGTCAAGAGTACAGAACTAGTAACACTTGGTAAAGCAGGTGTCAAGAGTACAGAACCAACCCCTGTGATAGAAGCTGCAGCATTATTAACAATCAGAACATGATCATAATCAGTTAGAAGAGTAGTAGAGAATAAAGTAGAATTATACGTCATTTGGTCAGTAGCTCCTGAATCAATAATCCAACTTGTATCACATGTATCATGGGCATGGAAAGCCCTGCCAAAATTACCTGGAGGGGGCAGAGTTGGAATGCTTAAGACTGTTATCAAGACCGCAACAGTAGTAGCGGTAAGGTGGTTGTGCTCAGTGGCGACATCAGCCACAGAAGTGGCGGTAGCAGCCACATGAGCTTTGTCACCCAGTTGTTCCTTTTTAAAACGCCTTCATTCCTTCTCCCAATCTGGTACCCCATGCAATGCCCAGCAAGTGTCAATAGTATGTCTCATTTCACCATAGTGATCACACT